GTATGGTAGGTTTTGAGATCTGGCAATGTGAGACCTCCTACTTTGTTTTTCTTCTTCAGTAGTGCTTTGCTTATCCGAGGTCTCCTTCCTTTCCATATAAAGTTAATGTAATTCTTTTGAATTCCTTCTCAGGGAGTTCTAGAGCTGCATCTTCCTCAGGGATGTGTTTTGGGTCTGTATCCCTTGTTTCTCCTGCTTTATCTTGCTTCTTTGTGTGGACTGTGATGCTCTATTGTCTCTGTGGAATTGTGACTTTTTTGTGTTTATATTTAATTGGTGATTGTATGTTGGAGTGACTTGCCCATGATTTTCGTTTTCTTTGTTTCATTTGTATGTTATCTATGTAAGCATGGTACTGTGGTGTGCTTCTCTGATCACTAGTTGGCAGCACTTATACACTCACCACCTGTCTCCTTTCCCATTGTCAGCCTCCCATATGTCCCTGCTGACCTTGGCAAACAGAGCCTATTCTTGGGTCCCCGGAATCCGAATGAGAATGCTGTCACTTTCAAATGCAAAATGGCTGCCACTTGTAAAGATTCAACATGGCTGAGCCCTCAGTCACTTTAAATATCCAAAATGGCCACCACATGTAAACATTCAAAATGGCTACATTGTCGGTCACCTTAAATAGCCAAAATGGTTCCCATTTGTAAACATTCAAAATGGCTGCATCCTCAGTCACTCTAAATAGGCAAAATGGCCAATGCTTGTAAACATTCAAAGTGGCTGCACCCTCGGTTACTTTAAATATCCAAAATGGCCACCACTTGTAAACAGTCAAAATCGCTTCACCCTCTGGACAGCGGAAAGTCCACAGCTCACATTGTCTCCCTCCTTGCTGTTTCCCTTCCTAATTCATAGGCCACCAGCGCAGTTGTCCCTGCTGCCCTTGGCGACCAGGGCTGATCTTTAGGTGTATTCTTATGTCCCAAGACCACTTGGACATATTCAGGCTGTTGGTCCCTTCAGAGTAGCTGACAGTCCACTGCTCCGACCGTCTCCATACTCACTGTTTTCATTCAGGTTTTTCATTCATCCACTAGTTGGTGCCTAATCCACTTCTGTATACTTTCTTTCAAAGCTCAGGGCTCCAAGAGTATCTTCTGTATCTCAGTCGATTGGTTGCTCTTTTCTTTGGTGAAGAGGGACTGTGTAGCTTGTCTGCCTATTCTTCCATCTCACCGGAAGTCCCACATTTTTCTTTGTATAGTTCAGCTTCTCCAATTATTTGCTCAGCATATAGGTTGAATAAGTATGGTGAAAGGATACAACCTGTTCCACACCTGTTCTGATTTTAAACCATTCAGTATTCCCTTGTTTTGTGAGAACAACTGCCTCTTGTTTTATGTACAGTAAATACATATTCTTGGATTAGAACCTGGACTGTATGAAGAAGAATGTGACATCGGGATTAGAGGAAGACTCATTAACAACCTGTGATATGCAGATGACACAACCTTGCTTGATGAATGTGAAAATGACTCGAAGTACTTACTGAGGAAGATCAAAGAATATACCTTTCAGTGTGGATTTTGCACCTCAGTAGAAAGAAAATGAAAATCCTCACAATTGGACCAATAAGCAACATCACAATAAGTGGAGAGAAAATCATTATAGTAGTTTTCATTTGTAATTTATCTGACTCTGCTTCTGCCAGGTCTTAGGCAACAAAAATGGAGCAAATGCAGAAGAAGCCAGACCTGAAAGCCTACCGACCAGGCTCTGTTCTGTTAATGAATTTATTAGCAGAAGTTTGGATCACTCTAGTACTTTCAAAGAAGTGAGAGAAGCAGGAGTAGCTTTATATGAAGAATAAAAGTTTTAGGAATAGAATCAGTGACCATCATGAATAAAGGAACAGGTGGAGGGTTTGCATTGACAGTATGTATTTTGTGTTTGCCTTGCAGGTGCTTTTTTTTTTCCCCCCTCAAAAAAGTCTTTTCAATTATTCTGTTCACTTTTAGGGATGAAGCATAATAACTCAAAGAAAGATTGGTCCTTATCAGAAGATGAATTTAAATTATGGAACAGACTTTATAGGTTAAGAGACAGTGATGAAATTAAGGAGATAACATTGCCTCAAGTTCATTTTCCATCTTTAGAAAATGAGGAACTCAGACCGGTAAGTTAAACATTTTTCAGATGCTCTTTATAATGATTATGCAGCTTCTTTGAGAGTTGTTGTTGTTGAGAATAGAGAGATGTTTTAATGAGAATATCAATTTGAAAAATTAACAATGGAAGTAGTTTTAAAAATATCAGTAATGTCTAAGCCTACAAAACTAGAAGTTTTCTTATGTTATTTATTGCATATGTATTTTTACATGATTGTGATATGTTTATGTAAGTTCTGCTTTTTCTTTATTACTTTCTGCTATATATATATGTATATGTACTATGGTACATTGCGGAGTAAAGTGACAACAAGGTCAATATATATATGTATATATATATGTATATATATACATATATATATATACACACACATATTGACCTTGTTGTCACTTTACTCCGCAATGTACCATAGTTTGCTTGACTGTTTCTCTGATGTGTTTTGGGATTTTCTTTAAAAAATTTACTAATAGTGCTGTCTTGCATCTTTGTACAGCTGTTTTTCATTTTACTTTTGGAGATTATTGTTAAAAATTTGAATTGGATGTTGTTGTTTAGTTTGCTTATGCATAACTTGTTCAACAATTATGAACACATTATTGGTGAACTTAATGAAAGTCAAGAGAATTAGTCAAGTGTTTATATTTGCCTACATTGCTGAAAAAACAATCTCAGGAAAGTTTTAAAAGATTTATGGGCTTGAGATATATGGCTATCAGAATTTATATTTTATTCACTAACAGGGAAAATGAGGAATGGCAGCAGGTGTGAAGAGTTGGGATCAGTATCATTAAGAGGTTATAAATGTTTTCTTGTTAGATTGTAGGATATAAATCTAGGAAAACAGATTGAAGCCAAACATTTTCTTAAATATTTACTTAGATCATGGAGTTATATAAGAAGGAATATGCTCAAGTAGTAACTCATGAATTATTTTAAGAATGTATTTAAAATGTTACTTTTAGATTTTTATCAAATTACCTTCTTTATTTTCTTCTGAGATTTTAGTTGAAAGTACCTAAGTGAGTTAAGATTACTTAGATTAAGTTTAGGCTGGTTACCTATAGTATCAGTTTGTTTGTTTTTTTAAATCCTTTGTGAAATCTGAGTATGTGTCTGTTATCATTATTTTTCAAATCTTTAATCAAGACTCGAGAACCAGCCATTGGAACTCATCAGCTCTCTCTCTCCGAATGGAGAGTGTGGCAGGATCATTCTCTTCCTACCCATCAAGTTGACCATTCAGATAGATGCTACCATTTTATAAGCATTATGCAAATGATAGAAGGAATAAGACATGAAGAGGTAGGGTTTTATTGTAACTTTCTTTTACTGGTATGATGGTGAAACTAGAATACTTAATCTTTATTTTTCTTAATTTGAAGTCATTATTGTAAATAATTATGGCTAGAAATATTTTCTTTTACTAAACTGCTTCTTGTAATCTTAATAAGCTAGTTTTCTGCCTTAGGACCAAAAGTAGACTTACTTAACTAGGTGCTGATTACCATCTATAAATATTGATATTCTAGAGTAGAGTTTTAATATACTTAATTATTTATGAAAACTGTTTGTGAAGCTAATTCAGGACTTTTGTAAGCTTGGGATTCATTGAAATAGTCTGTGTCACATAATTAATGTGGTGTCTGTCTTATATCTTGGTGGTGCTTTTGGGAATTGATTCTTGATTGGTCTTCCTTGAGAGTCAGAATTGTTGTTGTTGTTGTTGTTATTTGCCATCGAGTTGGCCCCGACTCATAGCAACCCCTCCTTGGGTTTCCGAGGCAGTATCACTACGGAAGTAGGAATGCCCAACCTTCCTTCTGAGGAGTGGCTGGTGGGTTTGAACCGCGAGCCTTCTGGTTAGCAGTCATGTTGCTTTGGGCACTATCAGAATAGTGAACCTATTATGAATGTGCCTAAGGGACAAAGAGGCCACATCTCCTGACCTCCTTTAACCCCACAAGAGGAAGACAGAATCACTATCAATAGCCCAAGGCCTATTCCTGCGAGGCCAGATGTGCTGCCTCCCTCCAGCCCTTTCATTAACCCTGACACCAACCATTCCTCCCACAGCATCCACCACCTCTCTGCTGGGTTTGAAGTGCAAGGAGTTGAGAGCCTACAGGCATTGAAATAGTCCCTGAGGACTGAAGATGTGAGAGAACGACTCAACTCCTTGCACTTCAGACCAGCCAGCCCTTCCTCTCATCCCCAGCCTCGGTGGCCTAGGTCAAAGAGTACCAAACTCAGCCTGTTTTTTCTTCGCTGTAGTTCCCCTATTTCCACTAAGGTGGACCCAAGTGTTTGTTGTTCACAAGCAAGTAACGTATAAGCCTACTACTCACTGGCTTCCTTTAACTTTCAGTCCTGGAAAGGGTTTCTCTCATGGACCATGACTTTCCTGTCTCGATGCACCCAAAACCAGTCTGCTTGTTCGAAATTCAAAGAGCCAAACAGTTATTATTTTTTCCTCTTCAGATCCTTATTCAAATGCAAATCTCCTGTTCCCTCAGTAGTACTGGGTGGGACTCAGGTTTTCTACCTAAGCTCCTAGAACTCTCCACACACAGGACTTAACACAAAAGCCAGTGTTTCTGCTGGGTAATTCTGTTTCCCCTTTTAAACATATCCAATCAAGTATCATCTGTTATCTATACTCCCTAATCATTTCTAATGTACAAGCAGATAAGAGAACATTCAATACCCTAGTACATTCAGATAAACACATAATCCTTTTTAAGACATTCCAGGTTTATCTTTTCACCTAGATTACCTTCCCCATTCTATGTATATGGCCTTAGGCTTTGGCTGGGTGAAACCAAAAGCCCTAGCCTATGAATCAATTATCTCTTTTAATAGGTAACACCAATCAAAGTAACCATCTAAAAGTCCAAAATTTCACTTTCCAAGCCCCTTCCTTCTTTCTTTTACAACGTCCCATGCTTCTGTGAGTCTGGAGCCACTGCAGTGAATCCCACTGCTTCTGACACCAACTGCTAAAAAGGCAGGGAGGCCACATTTTGACCTCCTCTAACCCCACAAGAGGAAGACAGAATCACCATCAGTTTGCCGAAGGCCTATTCCCGCAAGGCCAGATGTGCTGCCTCCCTCTAGCTCTTTCATCAACCCTGACACCAACTGTTCCTCCCGCAGCACCCACCACCTTTCTGCTGGGTTCGATAATTCACTGCAGTGGCCACACACAACTCACAGATTGTGGGGTTTAATTGGGAAGCACCAAGCTACAATTCAGGTTCAGGAACAATGCTCAGTCTCTCTCAGCCTGCCATCTCTCAGCCAATAGTCTCTCACAGTCTCTTTCCCAGCCATGCGTGTCTCTCGGTGTCTCTCTCAGCAGTGTGTGTCTCTTGCGTCTCTTTCCCAGCGGCGCATTTCTCTCAGGAGCGTGTTTTTCTCAGGAGTGTGTTTCCTTCAAGAGCGCGTTTCTTTCAGCAGCATGTCCTCAGCCAGCAGTCATAGAGAGACTTCTGCCTCTAGGAGGCCTCCTTTTAAGCCTGGCAGAGTGGCCAAATTAGCCAATGATAACATCAGAATTCTAAGCACCTGAGAGAGAGCAAACTTCCCAGAACATTGCTTTGTGCCACTCCCAACAGAAATGCCTCAGGTGGATAACATTTATAATCAGGAACTCCTCCTCAGTTGCCCACTGCAAATTCCACCATGGAGTTTACAAAGACTTACGGCTAGAAAAGCCGTACCAGGTAATTTATTACACCTCAGAATGTGAATCCAAAATGCCAAGGCTAGAATCCCAAGTCTACCTATTATTAATTGTTAGATATGTATGTAAATTATGTAACCTTTCTGTGCCTCAGTTTTACCTATAAAATGGAGACAATTATACCTACTTCATAAGATTATTGTAAGAATTGTTGTAGTTGTTATTTTTATTATAAATTATTATTCATACATGTGAATAAAGTAATTGGTGTGGATATCAGCAGAACCTGTGCCATCACATTAATACATATTTACCAAGTGCCTTTTTTATGCCATACTCTGTTCTAGGCCCTGGGGCTACAGTGGTGAACAAATCAGATAAAATAATTTTTCTGTGTGGAGCCACATATATATATCAGTAGGAATACCAACGGGAGCTCTGGTAGCATAGTGGCTAAGGCACTTGACTGCTAACCAGAAGGCTGGCGGTTCAAACCCACCAGCCACTCCTCGGAAGGAAGGTT